AACACTATCCGTGCCGGCCTATTTTTATTTTCTCAGTGATGGGGGGGGGGCTTTCTGGCCCCGCCTTTTTTTTAATATCAAATATTTTTACATGCTGCTAGTGAGAGAACCTGTTGTTAAAATATTTGAATCCCACCACTGCACCATAATACTTTTTTATTATTATTGTTAACGAAAGTGAAAACAATTTTTTCACAGCATAGGTTCATACGCTAAATAAAATACACTGATACACCAGATGGCAGTTTAACTAGCGTCGGCCGTTGTCTTGGTTAGCCTGTCTATTGTATACTTAACATTGTGTAACTGTAAGTGAATTATTAATGTTTATTAAATTTGATAAATACTTAACAGAGTTAAACTTTGTGTAATGTAACTTATATATTTATTTTAGAGCCATAATATATTTTATTTACCTTAGGTTCTGTAGAACTCTGCAGTCCTTTCTCACACTTCTGTTCAGAACGTGAACCGCGGATAGGCTTAAGTTAGTAATACTAATATTAATAATAATTTCTAATATTCGTAATTTTGTATTATGGTAATACTAGCTAATACTATGTATATAAAGAAATATTTATAATAGAATTAAAAATCGCTTTAGACAGAGCAGTAAGTCTAAGAGTAATATTCACATTTGTTATCACATATTTGACCTATTGTCATTAGAATATTTCACCAGTTTTTGGCGCTAAGATATAAGGAAGTTAAATCTTAAATTAATAGACTTAAAATCTTCTGTACAGTAACAATAAAGTATAAGTTAACATTGTATAGCTTTTAAAGTTTTGTCATTCAACGTCGTAATATCAATACTGATATAGGTATATTATTCATTACCATCAGGTCAGTTCATATTATGGGTATTATCTAGCCTCAGGCTTTGTGGTGATTAGTATTATACTTATACTTATAGCAGTAAATATGTCTTTAGTTATATAACTTAAGCCTATGGGATATTGTCTCTCAAACCAATTTTACTATAAACAAATAGCTATTACTGTTTTCAATCCAAATTTATGGTATTCGGGCCTTGGTTAATAATATTTACTCTTTTTATTTTTGTGCAACACAAAACAGAGACCACATTTTATAAATACACTGTTTTGAATATACAGTACTACTACTAGTACTTGTGAAAGTAATTATCCATGTATACATGTTTATTTAATGTTATTACAAAGGCATGTGCAACCTCAAATAATATTTTAATCTAGTTTCATTTCAACAGGAAAAAAACCTATGTAATGATTAAAGATTAATAAGTAACCTGCAGCAGTAAAAAACAGTACACCATGTTGTTATTTTGTTGTTAATGGTGTCTTTTTTTGCCATTTCAAATATTTATAAACACTGCAACTGTGGTGATTAATACTTTCATTTAGTAATACTTTCTGTGCAGTACAATGCCACCCACTGAAGTCAACATCCCACATTTGTCAACTATATTGTAAATTTCTACTTCTTGATTCTCTTTATTATAGCACATATTTATTGTTTTTTTTTATATCTGTGTTGACAGCATGCATAAAGAGTGCTTCTAAGTGCAATTTTAAATCATAACAATGGAAAATTTCAAACCATGAACATACAAATGACAAGTTGTTGTAATCCAGGGTAAAACTTAAGGAAAATACACATATGGAATGACAGATGCCAAAGGATACATTGATTGCATTTCTCAATGAGAGTTGTTATCACTTGAAGTAATTACTCAGAAAGGCTGCTTATTATTGCTTGGCATGTTGCACTGATGAGAATATGCAACTAATTATTAAAATGTATTTTTTTTAATGAAGAATAATACATAAATAAGCAATCAAATGTCAGTGAACAAGATATTGTATAAAATTCAAAGTGTATCAGAAGTAGATCTGGTTAAACAATGTTATGTCTTTGCAACATTGTATGGGGAACCCAAGAAGATTGGGGGGATAATAAATGTATGTTGCTCCATGTGCCTCACTGCCATTTGAAATGGCAATGTAAACAAACTTTATATGGGCCAAACAGCGTAGACATAAACGGGTAGCACTGTACCACAACCATTCAATGAGCATGTAGTTGTTACTTAACACACACAAAAGCGTGTGGATGACTTTATGCCAACATAGTTTTAATGTAAGAATATTCATATGCTAAATAATCATATTCCAAAAAAACCACAATCAAATTTGTTAGTGCTACAAATTGGTAGTATTTGTTGAATATTGCAGAAGTGATTTTCTTCAATATGAAATTATGAGTACTATACTGGAATCAGTGATGAAGTAACATTAGGGATTACTGGATATTTTGATGTATCCACTTAAAATGATCATTCTATCTCCAGAATCATCCTAGAAGTCTTTCTCTGAACTCTCGCCAATAAGATATCCCTTCTTAGAAAAGAAGACCAAACTTTACACATTATTTCAAGTAAAGTCTAATTAATGAGATAACTATCTCGTTTGACTTTTGTTTATATGTTTATAAATACACCCTAAATTCACTTAGCTAAAGCTATAGAAACTGAACATTCCCTTGGTGGCTTGATTGATTTACCCACCACTATATCAAGATCTTTTTCTTCAATCATCGAGGTTGTGGATGTATTTGAAAAAACTTCTTGTCCAAGGGACAAAATGCTAGAAAAATCTACTTGTCCTCTCCCCATCCCATGGCTTTTATTTAACTCTAGAATTCCAGCATGGGGTCACTATGACTTCATACAAGTTAAAACTGTATACTAAACTAACCATGCTGCATTATAGCCTTAACATTGAAAAAAACCAACAAACTGTGTTTCAGTGATTGAGAAACAAATGCAATGGCAGCTCAGTTACTTGCGTAATTTTTATACATTTAAATGTATAGTGTTTGTTTATCATAATACCTACATTAAATGCATTATTTTGTAGCTGTGACACAAAAGTGTTACACACAGATGCAGTGTTTTTTAAAACTTATTAAAATGACATTATGTAATTTATATATTTTAAAAAATGATTAATTCATATCATATGAAACACTGAAGCATGAATTTTTTGTTTTGCTGTATTCTTTCTTGCAAGCTGTGGACTTTATTTTACTGTGCTAAATGGTTAAACTTGATATATGTGAGTAATAATATAATAATCATATATAAACTTTATAATTGTGTGTGTGTGTGTGTGTGTGAAAAACTTCTATGCAAAATAGCTATATCCAATTTTACTATTTTGAGAAATTCAGCTCTCTTTTCCCTCCCTGCAACTTTCATCAAAATGCTGTTAAATCAAAAGTGAGGTATTTATTAAATAAAACCATTATAAATTATTATATGTAAACATAAGAAATCTAAATTTATTATTTATTTCAAATTTTACAAAAATATTTTATTTTTTGACAAAATTCTTTATGCCAATAGGCTTTTTTTATTCCAAATGTTGCATATCCATCAATACAATGTTATTGGCAACTTAATTTTGCCAAGAATAGAATATACTGTGTTTTGCTTCTAAGCTCTTCGTATATGTATTCCTTCTTCTTATGGTTTTTAACATTTATTCATTTGGATTTTACAGCACAATATTTAGAATAATCATGGTTCAGATTAATGCTACCATGAACTAAAATGATGTTTAATATATATATGTATGTATATACATACATATATAATTCTTCAATTTTTATTATGTTATATAATCTTCTTAAAGCTTGCAGTCAAACTTTACTTGTCTTTTACTATAGATAGAAGCAATATAATAATAATATTGAATTAATTTAAACGTGTTTGTTACTCTGTGTGACTGAGGATTAGTGAATTTAAAGGGATATGTACTTGTGCACATAGTTTTGGATTGAGGTTTAGAGGTACATCTATTTAAATGGTGGTGTGTTTGAGCAAGACTACTGCAGTTCAGAATTTTCAGGAACTTGTGTGGCAAAATCTACACAATGATTTTGAGCAATAGACGGAATGATGTGAATGAGAAAAATACTTGTTTAATGAGCAAAGTATAATGATAAAATGGGATGTCCTGGGCATTGGGCAATATGAATTCCATCCCACTGTGACACACTGTTGAGTGGATTCCCATTTGCATTAAATGTGTGATCTAAATTATTGGCTTCTCTAAAAAACAAGGAACTAAAATTTCATTTATTTATTGTAAAATGTTGAGCTTAATTATGCAATGCCCTCTTGCTGCAACTATTGCAACCATATCCTCATAAATAGTTAACAGTAAATCTAAAATTACATTCCTTTTGGTTGGCTTCCTGACCATTTGATATAAAAACATACAGTTTGGATTTCAGGAAGCTGACTGTCAAGTCTAAAGGCATCACAAACCTGTTATCGATCTGTCTCGTGAATTAATGCTGCTTTTCCCTCTAAGAAGTTCTATTGACAAGTGTGATTGGTCATCTATTTAGCATGGTAGTCTCATGTCTTTGATATTAGCTTTGTTTTTATTTTTGTGTTTATGCCTTTTAACAATATGAGATTAGTGACTTAAATAAAATGTATGTCAGTGTGCAGGATATTATTTGGATAAATGAGCATTATCCAGCTAAAATGTTGCTTACAGGAGCTCCATTTAGAAATAGGCTGTTATGAACTATGTTGTTATGAATATCATGGAAAGCATATTGAACATTTTCCAAGAATAAAACTTATGATTCTCAATGTACTCCTGATGAAATGGATACATATATTCAGATCTGTTGTGGTCCTCCAAGGGGGCTCTGAGGCTTCATTTGGACTTGGCTCTTCTTTTGCATCTTCTACAGTCACCATTGTTTACGGCAGCTTTAACGACTACCATTCGATTATCGCAACTATATATTTTTGAGTTCTCAGTACACTTCATTTTGGATAATTGGTTCAAAATGACCATTCCATTTACCTAACGGGTAGATTTAGGTTACATGTTCTTCCTCTACACCTGTTTGTGACATGATTCTTATATTCCATGTATCCCCTTTACCTGCAGGTTTATTTTTTGTGGCTGCTGTCTTACGGACATCACCAGTCAGAGTGATTTGCACTGTTTGTCCACAGACCACTTTCTCATTCTCTCTACATCCTCAGACCAGTTCTTCTTACCCAACACTCTGTCAAACAGGAAAGGGGTTCAGTCCTTTTCTCTGATTCATCTGCTCACTCTTTCTCTCTATGACCAATCAGATCTTGATCTTGATCATGTTTAATGAGGGTCTTGAAAGTTTTGTTGCCTGCAGGCAACTTATACCTTTAGAGATACTAGACAACAATTTATTCTGGGCTGTCTTTGAAGGTGAGGTATGTTCTTAGCAGCACAGTCGATTTGCCCGCTGGAGGTCA